CCTGTGTTCTATATGGCCACATCTAGAGAAAAAAGATGCACTCTTTTTTTCCCTTTTTTTTTTTTTTTTTTAAGATTCATTCATTTGGTGCTATGGCTGTGGCTCGAGATTTCCCTTTTTTTTAAACCATTTAAACAAAAGAAAAAAAAAAGGGGTTTAACCCCCCCCCCCCCCTTTTCTCTTCATATCCATAGACTACTCATTATCTGACGTGTAGAGTTAAAAAATGCAATAAGATGTTAGAGACACCAAATGAGTTTTGTCACATTATTTCAACAACAGGTTGAAATAAACATCTCTTCAAATGTAGTAAGTTATAAATGTGTTTTCCGCCTCTCCTTTTCAGTTTTTTTTTTTTTTTTTTTTTTTCCCTCTGGGATGATTCTGTTTTCTTTGTCATATTGACATGATGCACTGTAGCTCCATAGCCATTTGACACACTGTTCGGTTTTGTGAAAAGTGGCTGATATTTTCAGTGTGCTGCAGCTTCTCCATCACCGCTCGGCGTAAGAGCAATTTTAATGTAAAATTGCTTCCTGCCGGTAGAAGACAGAATTGACACTTTTGTAGATTCATGAAGTCATTATTGTGCTCAACATGCTATTAAATTAGCTTGTTTCAATCAGAACATTGATTTCTCCTGATTTTTTTTTTTCTTCTTCTTCTTCTTCTTTTCCCTGAAGGTGCTAAATGAATATTTCCACAATGTGTGTGAACTGGACCTTGTGTTCAACTTTTACAAGGTGAGATTGTTTTTCCCATGTCGACACTTTGCAATTGTTTTACAACCCGAATGCAGCACAGATGACAACTCCTTGTGTTTTTTTTTTTGTTTTTTTTTTGTTTTTTTCCTTTGCGTTTCAAGGTGTACACCGTGGTGGACGAGATGTTCCTGGCAGGAGAGATCAGGGAGACCAGTCAGACCAAGGTCCTCAAGCAGCTCCTCATGCTCCAGTCACTAGAGTAGAAGTCGATCCCTCTCCCCCCACTCATCTGCAGCCCCTGGCATTCAACCCTAGCTTCTCCGTGTTTTATATCGCTCTGAAAAAGCAACCACGTCTCTCTCCTGCCACTCCTTCAATGACTGCAGGGAAGCAGCATTTTAGAGAACGTAGCCAATATTGTCTAAATATTGATATTCGAGGTAAACTACACTGCTTGCCGTTGAAAAAAGAAATTATACTTTGCAATATTCTGTACACGTGGAACAGCTAGTGTTGTCAGTAGGCGAACAGAAACAAAACACTTGTATTTGTTACTGTTTGAAATCCTCATTAAGGTGCAGTCATGTTTGTGTTCTGTCTCAGCCAGCGGGTGCAGAAACTAGTTATTCTGTGTATTAACAAGTAAATCGACTCATTTATCTCTGTGCACTGTGGAAACCAGTGGAAACCTGTTAGCCCCAGTCCCCTTTTTGTTGCTCTTTAACCCATACATTTGTCTAATGGCACTACTTTTAACTAACAAGCACCAGAAAAAAACAAAAAAAAACAAAACAAAATGAGGACCACAGATGGTAATGAAAGCCTTGCAGTCAAAAAGCAATAGCCTCGGGAGCGTTACAGTATTCTTCAAGGCTCATTTGCATTTTTTATTCAACTCTCGCTGCAAGCAGACGACAAGTAGAAATCCATTTTAGAGCGATTAAATCAGCACAGCGACTTCATCCTACTCGAATGGAGTACCGTTTCAACGTTGTGCTAACCTGCGCCGTGTCAGGCATCCTTCAGGGCGGCGGATGACATGATGGATTATCTCTGACTGATTTTTTTCATTTCAACAAAGGGTGCTTGTTGGGTCCCTCTCAAAACACTCAAAATGGAGACGAAACTTAAGACATTCAGCGTATTTTCCCCATAAGGCAGTAATGTGACGTTTGCTCAGTGCGGTGTGTGTAAATACAGTGCATCTTGTCGTCGAGTATTATGAAATGAAGTCGTACAGAGTCGTACATTCCTCTGGCTCTCCATAAAGCGAAATTGCATTTTAAGCTCCCTTGTGCAGTCGAAACGATCTGCTTTTATACGTGTCTCTGCTGGAGTTAAATGCCTGTGAAATTGAAAATGTCATTCTAATTTTAACCATATCCAGTCGCACAGTTGATTTCACATGTCGACAGACGTTTTATCGACCGAACAATAGTGAACAATCTGCCGCTTCCTTTCTTGTGAACCTTATAAGATGTCTCCAGTTCAACACCTGTATGTCCCATTTTTGTGTAAATAAACAAAAAATTGACCAAACTGTTTTATTAGTATCATTAAATGATTGGACCGCCATGGAAGCATCCATTAACCTGCACCTTTTCTACACTTTGTCACAATTAAAGCTATATACTTCAGTGTTGTTTTTTTTTAAAGGGATTTTAGACATGGAGTGATCTAAAAAAAAAAAAAAAGGTCAACATTTTACAAATAAAAATGTAAAACATGTTGGGCGCATTTGTATTCATCCCAGTTTACCAAGATAAGTCTCTTAGGTAGTAAATAGCCCACCTGAGTGTAATTTAATCAGATAACAGCTGTATTTATATTTAAAAAGGCAGAGGGGCTCTTCACAGAAAATCAGTGAACAAACAGCATCACAAAAACAGATCAGGTTTACAGTTGTGGGGAAGTTTAAAACGGTGTTGGGTGTTAAACCTGCCATTTTTTTTTTTTTTTTTTTTTACTTTTAAGGGCACAGTTGAAACCTTCAAGTTTACTTTCCCATATCCCTTTCAGCAGATAATCCAATAAATAACTTTCTACAATACAAGCTCCCATTAAAGTGAAAGTTGAGTGAGAAAGTACAGTGGAGAATTGCTCAACTAGTGAGAAATGAAGGGGGCCATTGTCAAAGGGCTGAGTGAAAATGGCGCAAAACTTCAGTTCAGTATGAAAACTACAAGGAGAGGCTGCGAAGCTACCATTCAACACCAACACACGCAAAGGAAATGTTCTTAGCTGAAATCATTGACGAAAACATCAACATTGCTTGTGCCTCGTTTGCCACGGTTTACGGATTGACAATCCCGGATTGACTGTACCGAGCTCCACTCGACCAGAACCCACAGTAGATCTGAAATGCTGCTCACGTTCTCACAAACACTTTAGGAAATGGAGTGTGTCACTCCGGTTCTGAAGTCCTTCTTCTGCCTCCGAGAGAATGGACTTTAAAATATTTTAGTTTATAAATCACTGAACAACACAGCACCAAAATGCATGAAAGTCCTGTTGCTATGTCAACCTTCCAGACCACTCAGGTCTTCTGGCTCTAGTCTCTGTGTCCACAGAACCAAACATGGAGATGCAGCATTTCTATGCCATACAATATTTTTTTTTGTTTTGTTCATTGTATTGCGTTTTTCCAGTGAAAAGCACTTTGGCTTGTTGCTGAAATGTGCTGTAAAAATCATTATTAAAAAGTTCTGTTCATCGAAGACCCACTGCCCACCTAAGCTGACAGGTCTAACAGGAAGAGCATTAATCAGACCGTTGTATCTCTGGAGAAGCTGCTTAGTTCAACAGCTTAGGTTCGTTTGGCAGCGCAGTGAGTCATGCACGTCGCATCCTGTTTTTATGGAAGAGTGGCAAAAAGAAATCCAGAGGAACTTGCTGGTGCTCTGGTCAGATGAGCCTGACAAGCAACATGCTGAGTGGTGTGGAAAACTAAATTTGCACATCACCACCATGAAACGTGGAGGCAGCATCATGCTGCTGCAGAGATGCTTTTCTTGTAGAAAAGAATAAAACTGGTCAAAGTTGATGGCTGAATAAATGGAGGGAAAACCTGGGGGAAAAAAACTAAAAGATACAAATGACCCAAGACTAAGGCAGAGGTTCTACTTTGTGCGTCTTACACCTAAACAGAATAAAATACTAAAGTTTTAGAATGATCCAGAACCTAATGTTTTTTTTCTGTTTGTAATTTTGTTTGCAAACTGACTTTTTATAAAAGTGCTTTACAAAGAAAATGTGCTTTTAATAATCTTTGGCACGACTTAAACTATTAAATCCTACTGAAACCTCTTAAAGTTACTGATCTTATTTTGTCTAGGCATAAATACGGGCAAATATAAGGAGTAGCCAGCATTTTTCTGGCTAACATTTAGCACCATCTAGTGGTCAAACCTCAAACGTAGTAAACCCCACTGTTCGGTTATGAGGTCATCTTCACAGCAGGCGTGCGATCAATCAGTCAATGTGTCCACATCAGCAACATTACGCCCCTCTAGTCGTTACTCCATCGACCCGGGAGCATAAATTTACACAACTGGACTCGGAGGGCACTTGCTATTTATCTCGCGAGACTTCCGATGTCCTAACCTCAACCTGACGGCCTTTGAAAGAAACAACTCGACCGAAGAATGGCGGCGCGAGGAAATGAATCAAGTGCGTAGATTCCGACGTGAAGTTTCAGGCTCCATCAAGCTAGCTGCCAATAAATCTGAATTGTAGTTGCTGCTCACAGGAAGCAGCAGGGAGGATTGGTTTATACTCGATGACTCGTTTGGTGTTACCAAAGAAGAAGAAAACGAACAGGGAACTGTTTAAATGAAAAACAAGCAGTTTACTGGGAATTGCATAATTAAAACAATGAGCAATACTCACCCTCAATAAGACAATTGACAATTTGTATTTACCACATAGGATATAATTAAAATGTACAGTAATATTTGGGCTGAATATATCACATCATTTACAAAACAACCGAGTCAGGATTGTGTTTCCCCAGCGATGAAGTCCAGACAAGTGAAGAAACGATGCTTGTGTTGTTGTTGTTCGGACCGCTGTTTAAACCTGTACACACATATTAATGCGCTTCAACTGCGAGTCAGCAGAACTGAAACATTTAAAACAATAAATGTGTATAAAACAGGACGAGTCAGTTGCTTTCACACAAAGCGAACAAGATGATTTCGCTCCACCACAGCATGGGTGACGACAGACACAAGGAGACCAAAATTAGGAACCTCAGTTGTAATTCAATAAGAGCTGATAACATCTACATTAAAATCTTTATTAAAGTATATTTTTCAAGTAAAATAACATTTACATTTCTATAGTTACAGCATATTCAGAAAACTGTAAAAGTAAAAGTGCACTTTCAGATATGACAGACTCACACAATGTAAACCAACACATTTTCACCACCCTTGATACCCTAAAAACACAGAAAGTCGCCCCCCACCCCCCCCCCACGCCCCACGCCCCGCGCCACGCGCCCCTCGCCGCCCCCCGGCCCACCGCACCCCGC